AGAAAAAGAAAAATTCTCTTTCTCCTTTTGCCAACAATAACCCGTGGAAGCTGCCAGGAAAGCTCAAAATCCATTTTGCATTGAAGAACCGCTTCTTACATTGCTCGATCGTCGCCATTACCAGTTTCCGGCACCGATTGAGGTAGCGTTTTCGGATACTGCTAGCACTTCCTGCCTCCGATGGAGACTTGGCCGTTTCACGATGGCAACATACACCACCTCGTCGACACCACGCTCACCAACGCTCGCCACGTATTTCCTAGCTCTTTCCTAATCTAAATTCCAAATTTCCAAGTTTCAATCTGTTTGTGTGTTGTTTTCAGATTCTCGTTTAGATTTTGTTTGATTTTACTATTATTATTATTATTATTATCGGATTTTTCAATCAAGACGATCTTGAGCTTCCCTGATGAATGTTAAAGTTTCGCCTTGCATTGTAAAGGTAGAATTCAAATTCTGCTGAAAATTTAAGAATTGCATGTTCTGTAAGGTGTAAAGCTCTGAAACTCTTCTTTTTTTGTATTTCCCAAACTTAAAACTGAAATTGATTAGACTGTTTTTGGATCCAGCTTTGTCTTTCTGATAGATACGGAAGTGTTTCTTGTATAATTATCAGTGGAGCAAAACCTTTGTCTTCAACATAAGAAAAACTCAATTGATCTCCGAATGTTTGAGTTTCAATGAAATAAATATATCATCAGCCACTAAAAGGCTTCACCTGGCAGTTAACTCAGAATCTTATTTTCTAATAGATGAGATCTTCTTGGTTTTTTGACCTGAAATCTGTAAATTACTGAAAATTTTGGATTTCTGTACCTCCAAGAGTTGACCAACACATCTTATTTTTTATATTTCTTGGACACGCTGTATTATAAATGTATGTTTTCTGCTATCTAAAAGAGTTTCTTTGCTATTTATGTAGGATGTCGGTCGCAGTTTGCAGATGCATTCGTCTCTGATACAAAGGCTCTCACAGGAAAGAGAACTGAAGGTTGTTTTGATTTTAAAGTATCTGATATTTGCGTTTAGTTGGAGGACCATCAATTGTATTGGCATCTATTCTTACATTTCTCAGATCCTTTCTCATTAAATCTATTGGATGGAAATAATAAGTGTTACATTGTTTAGCTGTTGGAGCATCCTAGAAAGTTCAAAAAGTTTAGACATCCTCTTTCTTCTTAAAAATGCAACTGAGAGGAGCTATTATCCCTTTTCATTTTAAATTGTGTTAAGAAATAAGAAAGAGAGAGTAATGTCATTCTCACCCAACCGACTAAATTTTTTTACTTCTGAGATTCTAGACTAGTGGATTTGTTTGTTGAGGCTGAGCTTTTTGTTCTCCCATCGATTTTCCTTTATGTCCTAAAATCTTTCATCCTCTGAACAGGATCATAAGGGGTGTGTAAATGCTCTGGCATGGAATTTGAAAGGAACACTATTGCTTTCCGGATCTGATGATACACAGGTATGAGTTATAATGTTTCTCATTGGAAGTGTAAACTTCAGTGGTATGTACAATATTTTACAGAGGTAGCTGATATGTGTTGTGTTAGAATTTTTCAAGGAAGACAATTTCCTTGAGTATTGTTTATAGTAAAGGATAAGAAAACATGAAAAGTATGAGGTTGTGTGTGACAAATATAGAGATTGACATTTCTTGGAAGTTTATGTTAGAAGTTGTAAATGTTTTCAAATAACAATGACTTTGGTTCTTGAATGACAGTGCAGGATGCATGGGTTAAATGATAGATAGGCTCTGTTTATGTTTGACCTGTTTTAATGTTATCTTGGCTAACTGCATTTGTGTAAGGCCTTATTTTGAGTGTTCAGTTAATCCTTTCAGATTTCTATAATCAGGTGTTTTTTTACTACATTTCTCATGTCTTTTGGTGCTTTTAAGTCCTCTCCTTGAAATGTGATCTTTGTACCCTAAAGTCATCCAATTAACACAAGTAGGAATTGGTTGTCTAGTCATTTCACTTTAGAAAGAGACAATATTTTAATCAAATAATGTAATTGGGTCTGAAAGAAAATGAAAAAAAACGTGTAGCATGATTAATGAAAAGAGGATAAGAAAGTGATGTCTTGGTGGTATTTGGAGGACTTGGTTCATGACATGAATATGGGAGTTTGATAACATCATGTTATTTCACTTGCTAATGTGGTAAAGCAGCATTAGATAATTTGTTATTATGTCACAGGTTGGTTCTTAAGTAGATTAGATTGACTAGAGTTATCTTGCCAACTCAGTATGTTTCAAGAAGCTCGTGAGCAAGCAGATCCACGGGTGTATAGATGAATATTCATGTTATTGTGGCCACTATTGTAGACACTAACTTCTTTTAGCTTTGATTTATGTAGGTTAATGTTTGGAACTACTCCGGTCGAAAGCTTCTCCACTCTATAGAGACAGGACACTCAGGAAACATATTTTGTGTGAAGTTTGTCCCTGAAACTTCTGATGAGCTTGTAGTCTCTGGAGCTGGAGATTCACAAGTAATATATATTTCTTTGTTTGAAACTTTGATTGAGGGTGCTTTCTATGGTGGATTCTTTTTGCAGGCTGTTAGGTCATGGGTTTGGTTTGTAAGTTGCATAAACAATCTTCTTTGCAGGTTCGCCTATTTAATTTGTCTCGCTTAGGTGGGAGAGGACATGGCGATGGTTCCATTGCTCCATCTGCAGTCTATCATTGTCACACCAAAAGAGTCAAAAAGCTTGCAGTAAGATTTTATTGCATAAATGAGACTGATGTGTAGGCAAGTTTGACAGGTCATAATTGAAAAATGAAATTTTGAACCCAAAATTGTTGCTTTACTTGGCGGATATGAAATCTGGTTGTTTTTGCTCATCATTCTTGATACCTGCTTCTTGTAAAAGGTTGAAGTTGGAAACCCTAATGTGGTCTGGAGTGCGAGTGAAGATGGGACTTTGAGACAGCATGACTTTCGTGAGGGCACTTCTTGTCCTCCAGCGGGATCTTCTCACCAAGAATGTCGCAATGTTCTAGTGAGTGTGACATTATGATTGGGATTTTCTTTGTTCATATATATTTTCTTCATACATCAGTAAGACATCCGCATTGCTTTTGTTATGTTTACAAAATTTCTTTCCTTCCCCTTAGATTCAGACTTAATTGACGTTTGAAGTAGTTCTGTTGAGCTGCATTCTGATGATGATTAGTTTGTCTTGGTTAGCTGGACTTGCGTTATGGAGGGAAGAGGTCTCTAGCTGATCCTCCTAATCCTAAACATACTCTTGCTCTGAAATCTTGTGATATCAGTTCAACTAGACCTCACTTACTCCTTGTTGGTGGGAAGTACGTAGCCTATACTCTCCATTAATGTGTTTTTCTTTGCTTTACTTGATTCTCTTTACTAATCTTGTCCATCAATGTGTCAATGCTTACAGTGATTCATTTGCCCGTCTATACGATAGAAGGATGCTGCCACCATTGACTTCTAGCCAGAAGAGGATGTCGCCACCTCCATGTGTTAATTATTTCTGCCCCATGCATCTCTCTGACCGTGTTAGTTTTGAACTTTGTTTATTTCTTATTCTTTTCAAATTTGTTTAAAATATCTTAAGTGTTTTAGTTATAAACACAAGGAAATTAGTTTATTTGTCAAATTTGTTTGAATTATTATCTTATAATGATTAATGAAATTTTCTAGAGCATAAACTGTTTAACATGCAAATTAACAGTCTCCTACTAGTAGAATTTAGAATCTTCATTCTTCTTTTCTGCTCATATTGTGAAATAGTTATGATGTTTCTTACCCTGTATAAGTTAGTCAAGGGAAGCAGTTCAACTTGTAGGCATTGATATCTTATTGAGAAGTGATTTCAACTTTTCTCATAGCTAACGTTTCTTTATAGCTTTCAAGTTTGATCTTAACGTTCTGCTAAAATACTGCTTGTTTTAACTAAATTTTTTGTCATATTAGTTGAATGCCTGTCTCTTTTTGCTTTCCAGGGACATCTAATGCAACTAACTCATGTAACATTTAGTCCAAGTGGAGAAGAGGTTCTTCTTAGCTATAGTGGAGAACATGTATATCTAATGGATGTAGATTGTGGTAAGTGTAATTATAGGAACTCATTTTTCTGTATGCATATAGTCAATAGGGTTTAATGCAGACATAATTACGCCTTTTGTTTGTTTTCTTGAAGATATTACTAATTGCTTTGTACCTTATTACTAATTGAAAAGTGCATGGAAGTTATCTTCCCTTTTCCCTTTATTTATTTATTTCTTCTTCTTTTTTATTTTTTTATTTTTTAGTTTTGTGGTTGGGGGACTAGATTTTAGATCAATGATGTCTCTATTTTGATTGGTTGTTCATAGTGCTTCATATATAAGATGGTTTCTTCCCTCAGGTTATGATCAGTTCTTATTATTTTAATGTTAATTTTATCTGTTTCTGAAATTTACAGTCAATGGAAGTGCTATGAAATATACTTCAGGAGACACTTCAAAGTTATTGAGCTTCACTCCTATACTAAGCAGGGTAGAACATGAAGGGCCTATGTCTGATGTTGTCCAAAATGATTATCAGAAAAGAAATATCAGTGCTGAAAGGGTGTGCTTTTTGCTTTGCACTTCATTTCCTGTTCCTATTTTTGGTAACATTGTCACAGAGATCTAGTTATATTAGTTATATAGTTGGAAAATGCCATAAATGCTGCACACATGCATACCTATTTTGCTTTCTGCTAGCCTAACATGGCAGTTACAGCTTGAAAAATGCAGGATGTTGGTTGACTTTGCAAAAAAGTCCTTGGAGGAAGGGAAGGATCATTTCTATGCAATTGAGGCATGCCATGAAGTTCTGGATGGATATGGTACCAATGTTGGGTCCACCCTAATGCATGAATGTTTGTGTACACGTGCTGCCCTATTGCTGAAGGTTCATTAGAAACTGTGTTAGGCTAATTGTTTAGATATCTTTTGATTACATATTAACCCATTTCTTTTTTCAGCGGAACTGGAAAAATGATGTCCATATGGCCATAAGAGATTGCTACAATGCTCGAAGAATAGATGGTTCTTCTGTTAAAGCTCTTTACTGTATGTCTGAAGCTTTGGAGCAGGTAATTTAGTAGTTAATGGTTGCAGCTTCTAATCCATAGGCCTGCTTGATTGAATTGGTAAATCATCTTACCATTTTTTCTAAAGAGAATGATCAATTGTTGGACATGAAACCAAGTGGCAGCTTTTTGTTTCTGCTCCCAACCCTCTCTTTTCATCTTGTAAAGCTACATTGAGACTCTAGAGATAGCTGCTTCAGTCAAATACCAGGATACTCTTTATAGTTTATCAAGAATGAATTTTCTTATAAGAAGGTTGTTAGCTTTTTTTAAATGTTTTAATTTCTAGATATTTAATAAAAATTTACTTGGTCAATTTAACATCATAACCTCATGTTTGATTCTTTTGAAATAATCTCTTATGATGTCTTAATTTATGATGTCTTAATTCTTTATGATCTTGTTTTAAATTTTTTATATAAACACAATGAAATTAGTGTTATAATTGTGGTTGTATTAAACTGAATTATATTTGGAGTTGCCTGAACATGCTATTATTATATTTTTTTTCTCGCCTTTGTTTTCATCAGTCCTTGACATCTAAGTTATACATCAAGTTTATGGTACTTTTCTATATTGTTTTATTCAATTGGTTGATTGTGTTCAGTAAACCAATTATGTAAAGGTGGTTATGGAAATACTTACTGTCATTATTTCTGTTGCTATTTCCTAATTGTTAGTTACTTGTAGTTGAACAAACATAAAGAGGCTCTAGAATTTGCCATGGCTGCTCAATGTTTGGCTCCATCTAATACTGTGGTGGCTGAGAAAGTGGAGAGCATAAAAAATAAAATTTCTGCAGGTTTGTGGCTATTTTAAATCCTTTTGTTATCTCAATTTAGGTTTCTAATTTATCAACCGTTGATTTCATGGAATTCATGTTATTGTATAGTGTTTTATCTGTTTGTCAAGCAATGCTGCCTCGTGATTTTTAACTTTCTCTTAACCAGATGTATTCTGTCATATTTGATATCACCTGAAACTTAAAAGATTTATGTTTATAGGGAAATGCAAGCAATTTTGGGATTTCTATAGGTTTCCAGTGCAATGAAATAGGTTATTTCTGATATAGGGGTGTTTGCATAAGTAATGTCTGTTGGCATGGTATCGGTTGTATTGGTCAAACAAAATGGAAATGGTTTATTCAGAATTTGTAAACCCACCAGGCAATTAATGGAAGTTTGGTTTTCCATCTGGTGTCATTATATATAGTTCTTTTGAAGTAGCAAAGAGACAGGAAAAGTAGGAAGAATAGGTTCTTGGGTAGGTGCACATGACAAAGCTGTGGTTATCAAAGTTTCCCTCTGCACAATACCTTTCTTATCAATTTCATCTATTTTGGTCACAGATGCAAACCTTATAATTAGAGATCGGATTTAATTTGCCTAACTCAGCACCCACCTTACTCCACAGCTTTATCTATTTCTTCCTTCCCCTTTATTGTTGGTGGATTAGCCAGTCTGCTGTAAGACCTGGGAACATTCAATATCAATTTTTGCACGGCTAAATGTTAGGCAAGAAACTACAAAGGCTCTTTGCTCCTTTTTTTTGTGACATAATATTT